ATTTTCTCTCCTCTGTAAATACAGAGCTTTTTAGTGTCCCAGGGAGGGCTCTATCGGGTACCTTTGACCTTATGGGTTTTATAAACTGCACATAGTGATTTAGGAATTATACAAAATGAGAAACTGATCTTTAAACTCAATGATCTGTGTGAACCAGTTACAAAATAAGGGTTTCAAATTTTGAGAATAAGATTTTATCAAAGGAGAACTGGCATCAAAATCTGAGGAACAAACACCAGATGGAATTCTACCCATGTCTACTAGGTGTAGATAACTTATTTCTTTTCTGTAATATGTCTTCATTACTTTTTTTTTTTCTTTAAGAAAACCTCCAACATATAAGAGTAAGCTAGGAATGGTGACATGGGCCTGGAACAGCAAGCTACTTGGGAGGTTGAGGCAGGAACATTCCAAGTTTGAGGTCAGCCTAGGTAACTCAGTGAAACCTTGTTTCAAAATGAGATAAAAGAAACTCCCTGGCAGAGTGAAGGAGCCAGAGTCTGATATCCATGAGCAATTGCAGCAGCAATCAAGAACCCATTTAAGAAGAAAGGAGCTTGCATCTGTTGCAGCTTCCTTGTTCCTCCAATTTATCCATCCAAGTCACCATCCTATTGGATGGTGCTTGCCCATGCTCAGGGAGGGTCTCCACTCCAGTTTGCTATCCCACATGCCAATCATTCTAGACACACTCTCATTGACACACCCAGAAGCCTCTTAATCTTCTGCACATCTTAATCCAATCAAGTTGACAATTCAAATTAGCCATTACAAGTTCACCCCTGGTCAAGTTGATATTCAAATATGACTCTTTACATCATACTTAGTATCCAAATAAACACAGTAGCAAAGTCATAATTCTGCCTAACATATAACAATCCTCTGTAAAACTGAAAATGTACTAGTTCTTTTCACAGAATAGAAGGAAAAACAAAAACATTAAGTACTGCTGTTAAGTCAATCCATATTACAGGATGAACAACAGGATAGTAACAAACATGTCCTCTTAATGCATGTGTAAATGTGCACAAACATATTCTTAATGGAATCTGGAAGAAATATCAATGGCAATTACATTTCTGTAATTGGTCACTGTGGCCACAGTTGGTATTTATGACTACCTTCTTCTACTATCCATTCTGTATTCCCTCTACTTTCAGCAAGCACCTCAGCAGGTCTTGGCTCTTTACCTAGAGGTGTGACCCACACCTTTATTCCTGGAGGGTCCGAAATGCCTGGATTGGGTTGTTACAGTTTCTCAATGACCTTAATAAAAGGACAGGGTAATACAAGAGAATTTAGGAGGAGCTATGAAAAGTCAGCATTGGTTGTTGGAAGAGATGAGAAAAGGAGTATGCTTCCTTACCTCCATTGTGGAGTAACAGTCCAATGTCCCCTTGGTAATCTGGATCAATCACCCCTACCAGTACCATAACTCCTTTCTTAGCCTGTTGACTCAGAGGCATGAGGAGACCAAAGTGGCCAGAGGGAAGTCTTAACTTCTAGTTAAATGAAATCATTGTTGTATCTCTCAGCAGAAGCATTCCTCCTTCTGGAAGTAAGACTTATAGGCCAGAAGAACATAAGGTTTCAGGGACAAGCAGCAAAAAAACTTTGCTAGTGAGTTATACTCGGAGTAGAAACCAAGGGCCTTTGGGCCAGTTCTTCATGCAATCTCCTTGTTCCTTTGGATCCTGCCTGTGCCTAAGTAGGTACCACTTTCACTTGATGATAGAGTGCCGCTATGCACGTCCAACTTTATGGCTTGGTGGGTCAGATAACACCCAGTTCATGATAGGCAGTACAGGTCACATAGTAACCTGATAGCCAATGGTCAAGTGTTCAGTTTCCACTAAGGCCCAATAGCAGGCCGAGAAATGTTTCTCAAAGGGAGAGTAGTTGTCTGAAGCTGAAGGCAGGGCCTAGCTCCAAAATTCCAACGGCTTCCTCTGTGATTACCTATGGGGGCCTGCCTAAGGCTCCAGACAGCGTCCCTATCTGCCTCTGACACTTCAAGTACTATTGGGTCTGCCAGGTCATATGGCCCAAGTGGCAGAGCAGCCTGCACAGCAGCCTGGACCTGTTGCAGAGCTTTCTCCTGTTCTGGACCCCACTCAAATCAAGCTTTTCTAGTCACTTGGTAGATGGGCTAAAGTAACACACCCAGGTGAAGAATGTGCTGCTTCCCAAATCCAAATAGGCCCACCAGGTGTTGAGCTTCTCTCTTACTTGAAGGAGGGGCCAGATGCAACAACTTAGCTTTTACTTTGGAAGGGATATCTCAGCAGGCCCCATACCACTGAACTTCTAGAAACTTTACTGAAGTTGAAGTTCCTTGAATTTTAGTGAGATTTATTTCCCATCCTCTGATAGGCAAATGCTCCACACCCAGCAAGTTGAGAGTGGTAGCTGCCTCTTTCTCAGCTGGTCCAATCAACATAATGCCATCAATATAATGGACAGGTGTAATACCTTGTGGAGGAAGAAAGTGATCAGATCTCTGTGAACTAAGCTATCATGCAGTGCTGGAGAGCTGACATACCCCTGAGGAAGGACAGTGAAGGTATATTGCTGGCCTTGACAGCTGAAAGCAAATTGCTTATGGTGGTCCTTATGCACAGGGATGGAGGGAAAAAAAAGCATTTGCCAAATCAATAGCTGCATACCAGGCACCAGGAGATGTATTAATCTACCCAAGCAAAGAAACCACATCTGGTACAGCAGCTGCAATTGGAATCACCACCTGATTTAGCTTATGATAATCAACCCTCATTCTCCAAGACCCGCTTCTGCACAGGCCAAATAGGAGAGTTAAATTGGGATGTTGTGGGCCCTGTATCCTTCAAGTCCTTGATGGCACACTAATTTCTAATCCTTTCAGGGATGCGGTATTGCTTTTGATTCACTATTTTCCCAGGTATAGGCAACTCCAGAGGCTTCTATTTAGCCTTTTCCACCATAATGTCCCTCACTCCACAGGTTAGAAAGCCATTGTGGGAGTTTTGCCAAGTGCTAAATATTTCTATACCGATTATACATTCTAGGACTGGAGAAATAACCACAGGGATGAGTTTGAGGGCCCATTGAACCCACTGTTAGTTGGATCTTGACCCAAACCCCATTGATTGCCTGATTTCCACAAGCCCCTTTTTACAGAGAGCCACAATGACATTTTGGGTCTCTCAGAATCGATGTGAATTCAGAGCCTGTGTCTAGTATTCCCTGAAAGTTCTGATCATTGCCTTTTCCCCAGTGCACAGTTACCCTGGTAAAACATTTTAGGTCCCTTTGGGGAAGGATGGGAGAAAGATTAACAGTAAAGACTTTGAATATTGTACCAAGGTCCTTCCTCAAGGGGGCCTGGCCTCCCCTTCATTCAAAGGGTTCTAGATCTGTAAACTGACTCAAATCTGGGAAGTAGTTGAGGGCCCATGATTCTCTGCTGTGATGATCTAGCGCAGACTTTTGTACATTTGCCCTGGAATTTTTCTGCTTATATAAATAGGAGTTTGGGGGTTTCCCACCTATGTGGCTTCTGGAAACACTAAGATTAATTAGCCAACACCACAGATCTACAGAGTCAGGACATTTTGTCCATTTTTTCCCGTTTGCTGTCCATTATGGTAACTATGACCACCCTGTCTTTGGCAACTGAGGGTTGCCATTTGGCTCCTTCTTCCCCAAGGTCAAATTACTCCCATCATAGTTAAATCTCCCAAATGATTGACCATAGTTCCCACAGTAAGGTCTTGCATATAAAGAAGAGCAATGACAGAGCTCTTCAAGGATGCTGGTGCTCTCCTTGCAAATTTGTTTCTTATAGTTTTGGTGAAGAGCACTGTTAAGGTCTGTAGACAAGTCAAAATAACAGTGTTGGTGAAAACGAAAGAGGAAGAATTTCCAGTGTTGCTGAAAACCTGAAAACCGGAGGAGACTTTGGCTGAGAAACGGACGAGACTTTGGATCAAGCTAGCTGCCTGCAGAACTTACCTGGACTGTGATTTAAGCTAGCTGCCTGCAGAACTTACCTGGACTGTGATTTACCTGGACTGTGAGTTAATCTATTGAGACACTGCTTTACTTGGACTGAGACAACAAACTATAATGTACAACAAATTGTAACTTGATATTTTTGCTAACAGTGTCATTGCTGGTATAATTTTTCCAAGGGCTTCTTGCATGGAGCCATTAATTGGCTTGGTAT